GCCTAAAAACAATACAATACCACCAATGAAGTGAGAAAATGAGTATAAACAAGTGAGTGTTTTAGGAATTCAGAGAATACAGTTGGTCCTGTGATCTGTGAAGGCTCCCAGAAGAAGGAGGGGTGGCTCAAGTCTTTGAAGAATGAGTTGGATTTGGAGAGTGGGGGTGCAGGGGTAGATGATGCCGTTGGGAAGTGAGAAGAGTAGCCTGGCTGGAGGTGAGCTATGAAGTATGGACTTGACCCTGAAGACACTGGGGAGTCACTGTAGGTTCATAAACCAGGCAGCAATGTGATAAAAGTAGTGCCATCTGCCTGCAGGTGCTAACCTGGAGTGGGGGTGAGAGAGCAAATTCCATGGGACAAGAAAGGAGGCCATGGGCAACATAACAGGTCCTGGACTAGGGCCGAGGCTGAAGATGAACAACAAGGGCTGATGATGAAAGATCATTCAATAGGGTTTATTAGAGGAGAGAAACTCCTCACAGACAATACCAAGGTTTTAATTATCATGACTGGGAGAGGGGAGATGCCACTTACAGAATTAAGGAACACAAGAGAAGGAGCTAGTGTGGGGAGTTGGAAAGACACACTGAGTTGAGTCTGAGGCTGGCTGAAGTCCAAGTGGCAGCAAAGACTCCAGTTGAAACTGTCTGGATTCACAGGACCGAAGCCCAACAGAAAGGTAGAGGTAGAAGATATTTCCACATCAATCTCTTTTCACTTACCCTCTTAACTCTTTTTTCCTTTTAGTCTCAAAAAAAAAAAAGAGTTTTCTCCTCTGCTCACCAAAACTAAGCTCTTGTATTTGTTAGGGAACCTACTTTTGTCTCACCTCTCCAGATATCTAATGCAACAATTAATCTAGCATCTTCAGTGTTCCCTGTCTATAAGCTTTCTCCCTTCCACCTACAAACCTCTTCGGACTCCCTGGCAAAAAAAGGAAAACTCCTTTTCTTGATACTAACATTTCTTCTGACTGGCGCCCAACCTCTTTTTCCTTTCACTGATAAACTGTGCAAGTAATGGGTTCCTACCCACCACCCCACATCCCTAATTTGACTGTCTCTTCTAATACTGTGCTCCCAAGAGCTCGCAGTGGCCCTGTGTTCATCACACCCAGTGACACTTACCCAGCGCTCTTCTTGCTCAACCTGTCTGCAGCCTGTCTTCACTTCAGATCCCACGTGGACTCCCTGGGGTCTCCAGGATCAAGTCTCCTTTGTTGCCATGTTACAAAGAAGGGGTTTTCCCCCAAATTCTAACTTTAGTCCTTCCCCTCTTCCCTCCACTCCCTCCGTCTGACAGCCAAAGCTTCAGCTGCATCCAGCCTTGACCCAGAAGACTTCCAAGTCCACATCACCAGCCAGAATCTCCTGCCTATGCTCTTGTCTTGAGTCCCATTTTTTCCACAAAAAAGCTCCACCTGGCCCCATCGGTCATCTCTAGTTCACGACCTCCAAAGCCAACATCATCATCTGCTCCGCAAACCGGTTCCTATCCTCAGTCAGACCATGTCAGTTGGCACACTGCTAGTCCTCTACACTCTCAACCCAGCTACTTCCATTTCCTCAGAGGCTTACTTTTCTTCTCCCCCCACCCCCACCCCCGATAGCTAGTTTGTCAACAAATCTCCACATTTCTACCTCTGAAAATGTCTCTCAGAGCTGTCCCTGACTCCCCATCCTTTTCGCCACCAACCCAGACCAAGCTCCCTCCCACTCAGCTCTGAATCACTGTCCTATCTCTCTGGATTCTTTCTCTCTTTTCTCCACTTCATCTTTCATATTACCCCCAGATTAACCTTTCCAAATGCCACTTTGTTCAAGAAGTACCTTGCTCAAGAACCTAAAATGACTCCCTACTGACTGAATCAAACCCAAATCCTCTCTTGGGCTTCCCAGACTCTCCCTATCTGGTCCTGCCCCACTTACCTATCCCTATGTCCTATTACTCCCTAACCTACCCCCTCTATTTGGTGCCCGGGAACCTCAATGTCAATGTCCCAAATTCCTCTCCTCTGTGCCTTTTACCCATGCTGTTCCTCCCACTCTCTAGCCCCCTTCAAGGACTACCTTTGATTCTACTTCGTCTATAGTTCTGTCAACTTTTTATCTTATAGAACCATAATGTTTACTAATTAATCTCCAAGTGAGCAATAATTGTCAAACTCCTTTTTAAAAGTCCTTCTAGATCAAAGACCACTTTGAATATTTCTTTTGTATTCCACAGCACCCTGGACAGCAGAAGGCTCCTAGTAGGAGTTGAAAGGTCCTTGATGGTTTTCTATTCCAACTGGTTTCTATTCCCAGTTCCCATAGTTGGCCTCCTCTACATCATAAAAATGATCAATAAAACTATTGTGATGGAATCCACCAATATATAAGAATAGTGGGCTAGGGTGCATGTTTGTGCATGTGTGTGTGTGTACAGGGACTTGAGATCTAGGGAATCCAGCTTACTCAGTTGGTCAAGAGAATTGAAACACCAAAATAATCAGAAGAGGACAAGTAAGGGATCAAAATGACAGAATTATTCGAAACATGCCTTAGTAGAAGCATAGTATGCCAGGGCTTTGGCAAAGCAATTGCCAGTCTGGTCCTTATGCATGTAAAATTTTCCTCCAGGAAGTAAGGTGTAACTTTAGTGCTAGGGACTTTGTAAATGTGTTTGAAGTTTTCTCGGTTGTTCAACTGAATAAATGTATAATCTGTCTGGCCTAGCAGTACAGTGCTATGTTCCATAAAGATGGAGAATCAGAAGGGAGAAGGTTACAAAATATGGCCTTATTCCCGGCTTAAGAATCCTCAGCAAGAGCCCAGGCTAGAAACTAGAGGAGGAAAGATCAGGAAGCAGAGCACAGAGGACCCCTTTGGGGATGGGAGGGAGGCAGTCCTAGACCCAGCCATTGGCAGTATACACCCCGACTTGCAACTTGTTACAGGTCATCAGTTATTTCCAGCCTTATTCATTGAGAATTTAACCTTTCTCTGATTCTAAGTACACATCAGACCCCCCTGCGCACACACACACACACACAAAGACTGCCCAAGGAGGAAGGAGAATATCCACAACAGGAGTCCCACAGGAGACAGACCCCAGTCTGCTATTTATTCTGTGATCTGAGCCAGGGCTAGACAATGTAAGTCACACATTGTGTTTTGAAAGGCCCTGGGAAAAGTAACACATTGGACCATTATAGGCCATTAACACCATTAACACTGTGTGAAATTATCAAGCCTCCAGAAACTGAACTCAGCTCCAAGGACCTGGGACAGAGAATGGACAGGAACTAGTATTTAGATGGGAAGGAGGAGTGGTTGCCAAAAGATGAAAGTGGGGTCCAGAAAGGGAAGGTGGGAAGGTTCACACTCCAAGAGTTTTCTTCCCCTAGAGCTAAGAAAAGACAGACTTTGGCCAGAGATGGGAGGCAAGGGGGGTGGAGGATGTCAGGAGAGACCTCCTGATGAGAGTTTCCGGCTATCACTTATGCCAGGGAACCTCTCCCCTAGATGCCAGGTTATAAACTTAGGTCAGGAGCCTCTTTAGAATCCATGCTTTGGGTCCTGGGCAGTGTGTGAGTGCAAGAGACAGAGACTGATGGGGGTGGGGGGAGAGGGGATAAGAATGCATATATAGAATGCAGGTCTGGGGAAGAGGAAGGAAGGAGAGAAGCAAGGCTGAGCCCTGGGAAGCAGGAGAGGATAACAGGGGCTTCCTCTGCTTTTTTCCAGGCCCTGGCATCAGCTCCTGTCCTCCAGTTCTTTCCTCTTCAGACCAACCAGAAAATGAACATATGGGCCAACCAAGTCTTGACTTCTAAAGCCACAAGTCTCCCCAACAAAGTACCCCACCCTCTTCCCTAGAGATGACCTCTAGGGCAAGGCAATGAGATTAGGAAACAGATGGATGTGCAAAGAGCCTTCAGAGCTAACCTGATCCTTGACCCCACCAGTTCACGTCCTCTAATCCAACTTATGGAAAGAGAGGGCAGATGTGCAGCGTCCCCATAACTTATCACACTCCTTGGGACAAAGATTCCAGACAAAATGGTTCCTGACGTGGGAGATGGGGAACTGGTGGAAGCCACAGGTAAACGGGAGATTGGGGAATCCCTGGCCGGCAGAGAAACAGGGCCACAGGTGGTGGGAGATGAGGGGGTCTGTTCTGGGGAAGGGGCTGTGAAGCCAGGGAAGAAGAAGAGCTATAGACCTGGGAGAATGGGAGGGGGCAGGGGCCGCAAACAGCTGTAAAGACAGATCTGGGGGCTCTATACACCACAGGCAAGCAAAGATTCAGTGGGTGTGATGAGGAGAACGCTAACTCACACTTCCAGGAATGAGTGATTCTTAGGAAAAGCTCATCCGTTCCCAGAACTGGAGAAGAGGAGGACACGGAGGAGGTCCGAGGCGCCCACTGCCCTCCCAGCCCCGTCTGCCTCTCGAGTCGGAGACGCCGGCTCCCCACACGCACCAGGCATGACCGTCCTTGGTCCGCCCGGCTCCGGACTGTCAGTCAGCAGCGTGCGCGACTCCCGGTCCCCACTGCCCCACTCTACGCGTCAGGGCCCCGGGCCCCTGGCCCGAAGGGGTGCCAGCCCAGGGCGGCCGGAGGCTGGCTGACAGGCGCTGGGGGAGGGGGGAGCCGAGGGAGGGGCCGGGGACGCCGGTAGCAGAGCCGCGCGCTGCAAAGTGATCCAACATCGCCCCATCCCCGCGCTCCGGGAAAAGGCGGCCGAGGGGACCGCCTCCCGCCTCCCCAACACCGACTCCCGCAAGTGGGGTGAACGCCGAGAGGTGCCTGACTCCCAGCCCCCACCCCTCCCCAAAACGCAAGCAGCATTGCCATAACAACAAGAACCTCCGCAACTCCAGCCCGACGACGAGGACTGACCCCCGACACGCACACCCCAGCAACAGCCCTCCTTCCCCAAACTTGTCCGACACGCCGCGTCCCAGGCAGCAGCCCTCCCGCGGGCCCCCCGCGCCCTGCCCAGCTTACCTGTCCGGAAAAAGGCGTCCACGTCCGAGTCGGCGGCTCCTCCTTCCTCCGCTGCCCCCTCCGGGGGGTTCATGACTGAGGGAGGCGTCCGCGGGCAGCCGGGGCCGGCCGAGCCCGGGGCCGAGGGCTGCTGGGCGCCCGCTGGGCGGAGGGCGCGGGGCGCAGCGGCCGCAGACCGAGCGGACTCGCGGCTTCGAGGGCGGGCGGCTCGGGCGGCTCGGGCGGCTCGGGCGGCTGGGGCGGCGGGGCTGGGACAGAGGACGCCCAGCCTCCCTCAGGCGGAGGCGCGCGGCGGGCTGGGGGCGCCTGCCGCCGGCTCCCCCATGGTACCCCTTCCCCGCGGGCGCTGGCCGCCTGCTGTCTGGCCGGGGCCGGGCCGGGGCCGGGGTCCGGGCTGCCTGGGCGCCCGCTCTCCCCCAGCAGCGGCAGCTGGCTCTCCTCCTCGCCCGTCTGCCTGTCTCTATTGTTCAGCCCTGCTCCGCTCTCCTCTTTATTTTTCCTCCTCCCTCCCACCCTCCCTGTCTCTCTACCTCCTCCCTCCCTCGCTCTCGCTCGCTCGCTGACTCCCTCCCTCGCACGCTCTCTGGCTCCCCCTCTGGCTCCCGCCGCCACCGCCGCCGCCGCCGCCTCCCCGGCTCCTCCCCCGGCTCCCGCTCCCCAGTCCCGGCCAACAATGACCCGGGCAGCGCGGAGCCGAACCGAAGCTCCCGCCCGGGCCGGCCGCTCGCCGCGGGCCACCCGTGGCGCGGACGCCTCCCTCTCCGGCGGCCGCGCGCCGGCCTCTCCCGGAGCCGAGCCTGAGCCGCGAGCTATTGTTCGTGGCTGCGCTAGGCCAGCTTCCTGAGCCCCGCAGGAAAAGCCCCGGCGAAGGAGGCGGCCGAGGAGGGGGCGGGGCCGCCGGGCGAGTGCGGGGCCGCCGGGCTCGCCCAGGGGCTCCGCCGCCGCGGCCCCGCGCCCTCGGCTCTCCGCTGGCGCCTCGGTGCTGCGGCCCCCGCGGCCGTCCTCCGCCCCACCCGGCACCCAGGTGTGTGAGGGGAACCCCACGCTGCCCGCCCGGCGCCTCTTCAGACCGGTCCCGGAGCTGCACTGACCTGTCCCTAGAGGCTGGACTTTTCCCCCTCCTTCCTGACAAAGCTCTCGCCTGTCTCCCTCCCCTCCTGAGCCTCTCGCATTTTCCTCACCATCTCGCCTTAGTTCTTCTCTTTTTTAGCCTTTCGTTTCCTTTTCCCCCTTTTCAGCGCCCCTTTAAACATCTCTGCCTGTCTCTGTGACTCTTTGTCCCGCTCATTCCTCTTGCGATGTCTCCCTGCCCATCTCTCCCTCCCCCTGTCACCCTCTTCTGTGTCTCATTTGTCTCTGTCCTGCCTCAGTACTTGGCCCGTATCTCTGAGCTCCTCTTGGACAGCTGTCAAAACTCCCTAATCCCCAGGGGCCTTCTCTGTTTTGTTCCTCTCCCTCGTGTGAATGGAGAGATCCAGTTGGCCGGGAGAAAGGAGGTGTTACAGCAAGCTGAATTTCAATTAAAGTGCGGAGAGGGGCTAGGGAGGAATGGGGATGACAGCAGAAAAGAAAGCAGATGCTGTATGGGGTAATTAATGCAGTGATTGTATTGTGCCAATTGGTTTTTAAGCAATAATTAAACAATAATTAGCCAGTATTCTGTTTATAGTTCTAGTGACTGCAGAGCCTACAAAACAGAGGCTCTTTAGACCTAAGTACTTAATGTGGTGTGTTGGGAGGTGTTGCTCCTGCCTCATCCAGGCAGATGGAGAGGCTGTGGCCTGACCTAATGTGTTAAAACACACCTAATAGGAAAACCAGGTCCTAGTCTAAAGTTGATGGCCTGCTACCCACCAGCCAGAATCTCCTGGATCTATTTATCTCTAACAACCTACTTGGTTCCACCTCTCTCTGGATGATCAAAGCACCTGGGACCTTTCCAGATCTACTAATAGGGTACTTCTAACAGCAAATAGAATGAATTACATAAGTCTTTAGTGAACCCTTTCTAGCTCCCTGTACTCATCACTTTCTTTACTGAATGCCACACATTTTTTTTTTTAAAACCCACTGAAAATATAAGTACAGTTGCCTGTCTCCAGTCCTAGGTACATCTATCAGGTTCCATTTCTTAAAAATTATTAATAGTGACTCTGAGATCACTGCCCTGAGATCTAATTCATCTGGCCCTGGTATCTTGAATTGCCTTAAAGCATCCTGACACCCCCTTGTCTACCACCTTCTCTGACAGTGAAAGTACTTCTCATTTGTCTTTTCTAAATTTTGCCTCCCCTTAACCACATGCCTAAACCCTGGCCTATACTCCCACATAAATACATGATGACAGAACTGTTATCAACAGCCACCGTTTGTGATATTGAGAACCGGAAGCCTGGCAAGAATATTAGCTGATCCCAAATTCAGAAGAAACATTACATGTTTAGAAGAAAGGTCATATCAAAGTCTCAATAAATGTGGACTAGAATGGGGGGAAACCTTATGTGATACCAATTTTTGAGAGGAAATTTGGCTATTTTTATTAAAATTTTAAATGTTTGTAGCTATATTATTATCAAAGAAGATTTCAGAGCAAAGAATATTACCAGAGATCAAGAGGGACATTTCAATTCATCAGATGGATGTAACAATTCAAAGAGTTTTTGCATTTAATAAGGGAGTTTCAAAATATATGAAGCAAAATGGATAGGACTATAAGGAGCAGTAGACAAATTCATAACTACAGTCAGACATTTTAATATCTGTCTCAATAATTGATAGAATAAGGAGACAGATCATCAGTGATTGGTGCAATCAACCAATTTAACCTAATTGACATTACAGAATACTCCACTCAATAACAGCATATACACATTTTTTTCAAGTGCACAGGTAATATGTAACAAGATAAGCCATATGCTAAGCCCTAAAACAAGTCTCAAATTTAAAAGAATTAAAACCATGCAAATTATACCTCAATTTTGGGGTTTTTTAAATCACACAACGTGTGTTTTCTGAGCACAAGAGAATTAAATTAGAAATCAATGACAAATATATGGGAAATACTCCCCAAATATTTGGAAACTAACATACTTCTAAATAACCCATGTTCAACTTAAGAACTTCAAAGGAATATTAGAAAGAATTTTAAAGTGAATAAAAATGAACACATCATATAAGAACCTGTGAGAAACAGCTAAAGGAGTATTTAGAGGGAAATTTAGAGTACTAAAATATCTACTTTGAAAAGAAAGATCTCAAACCAGTGATCTCCTGTTCTACCTTAAGAGCAAATGAAACCCAAACCGTAAGAACAGAATTTTAAGAGCAGAAAGCAATGAAATAGATAACTGAAAAACAAAAGAGAAAAATCAATGAAACCAAAAAGTAGGTTCTTTGAAAAGATCAATAAAATTGATAAACCTCTAGTCCGACTGAAATAAGGAAACAAGAGAGAAGAATCAAATTTCTATTAGCAGGAATGAGAGAGGTGACATCACTACAGATAATGGAGATGTAAAAAGAATAAAAGGGACTATTATGAACAATTTATGCCAATAAATTCAACAACTTACATAAAATAGACACATTCCTTGAAAGACACAAACTACTAAAGCTTACTCAAGAAGAAACAGATAAATAGCCATATATCTATTAAAGAAATTAAATTTATAGCTTAAAAGTTTCCCATAAAGAAAATTCAAGACCCATGTGGCTTCACCGGTGAATTCTATGAAACATTTAATGAAGAAATAATACCAATCCCACACTCACTTTTCCAGAAAAGTGAAGAAGAGGAAATATTTCCCAACTATTTCTACAAGGCCAACATTACTCTTATGCCAAAGCTAAACAAAGTTCAATTAAGAGAAGAAAAGAAAAAAAGAAAACTGTAGACCACTATCCTTCATGAACATAGATGCAAAATTCTTAAAGAAACTTTAGCAAATTAAATCCAATAATATATAAAAATGATAATACAGGGGCACCTGGGAGGCTCAGTTGGTTAAGCCTCTGACTCTGATTTTTGTTCAGTTCATGATCTCAGGGTTGTGAGATCAAGCCCCACATCAGGTTTCACACTGGGCATGGAGCCTGCTTAATATTCTCTCTCTCCCTCTCCCTCTGTCCCTTTCTCCCCAACTCAAAAAATAAATAAATAATAAAAAAGATAATACATCGTAACCAAGTAGGTTTTTCTCAAGGATGCAAGGTGGGTTAGACATTTGAAAATTTACCAATGTAATGTACCATATGTAGGTTGAATTGCATCCCCCCAAAAGATAAATTGAAATCCTAATCCCCAGGACCTGTGAATATGACCTACTTTGGAAATAAGGTCTTTACAGATGTAATCAATTATGGATGAGGTCATTACAGTAGATCCTAATCCAATATGACTCGGGTCCTTATAAGAGAAAAACTTGTGAAGACAGAGACATACAGGGAAAACACCATGTGACAACAGAGGCAGAGGTTAGAATGATACAGGTGTATGCCGAGGAACACCAAGAACTGATGGTCACCACCAGAAGCTAGGAAGAAACAAGGAAGGATTCTACACAATTTCAGAGGGAGGATGGCCCCTGCTGACGCCTTGATTTTGGACCTCTAGCCTCCAGAACTGTGACAAAATAAATTCTGTTCTTTTAAGCCACCCAGTTTGTGGTATTTGTTACAGCAGCTCTAGAAAATTAATATACCATATTAAAAAAGAAAAACCATATGATCATCTTAATAGATGCAAGAAAAGCATTTGACAAAATACAATATTCATATCTGATCAAAGCTCTTAGCAAACTAGGAAAAGAAGGAACTTCCTCAACTTAATAAAGGGCATCTACCAAAAAAAACAAAACAAAACAAAACCCCTATAGCTAATACTGTACTTAATGGTGAAAGATTGCTTTTCCCCTAAGATAAGAACAAAGCAAGGATGTCCACACTGACTCTTATTCAACATTGTACTGGATGTTCTAACAAGTACAATAAGGCAAGAAAAGAAATTAAAGGCACCCAAATTAGAGAGTAAGAGGTAGAACTGTCTTTATTCATAGACAACATGATTGTCTATTTAGAAAATTCCATGAAATCTATCAAAATGCCTCTAGAACTAATAATGTATTTAGCAAGATTTCAGGATATAAGACCAATTACAAAAATAAATTGTATTTCTCTACACTAGCATTGAAAGTTTAGAAATTGAAATTTTAAAAATCACTATTTACATTAGCTTGGAAAAATATTAAATATGAAGTCTAAGTCTGATTGAAGATTTGCAAGACCCACACATTGTAAACAACAATACACTGCTGAAAGAAATTAAAGAAGCTGTCAATAAATGGAGACGTATACTGTGTCATGAGTCAGAAGACTCAAAATGCTTAAGACATCAATTTTCTCCATATTGATCTGTAGATTTATTGCAATCCCAATTAAGATCCCAGAAGGGTTTTGCGAGGGGTGTGGTTTTTTTGGTTTGGTTTGGTTTGGTTTTTGTTTTTGTTTTTGATATATATT